TTACATGATATAATGATGCCATTACCAAGTTTGTTTGTATGTATTTTGCGTTTTTGTTCGTTTGAATGTACGTTTGTATGTATGCTTGTGTGAATGTTTGTATGTGTGTATGATATGTAAACGTTTGCAATTGGTATGAATATTTGTATATAAATTATAGATGCATGGAGGTTTGTATGAATGTCTGTATGTATACACGTGTATACATTCATAGGTACACTTATGTATGTATGTATGTATGCATGTATGTTAGTGTGTGTGAATATTTGTATGTTTGCAAGTCTGGCTGTTAATGGTGAATAGCTAGTTGATGGCTATCATCATCATTTTTGTAATGTTAGTGATAGCAACAATAACAATTATAATAATATCAATCATAATATAATAATAATTGTAACAAATAACAATAACAACAGCAATAATAATATCATTTTCACCATCATCATCATAATCATAATCAACGACAACATCATCATCGTCATCATGACCATCATTCTCATCATCATCTATTGATATTACTCACTTACTTACTCACTTTGCTTGGCAAGCCATCAACTTGAACTAAATCATCCGCTTATCGTTCTTTCTTTCATTTTAATATTTACTCATATATATGTATATATATATGTGTGTGTGTGTTTGTGTGTGTGTGCGTGCGCGTGCGGGTGGGTTTGTGTGTTTAGGTCTGTAGGTCTGAATTACCTTTTATTTATTATACAATGTTTTGTGTGTTACATTATCTTGTATTTTATGTGTGTTTGTTGCAACTATATTACATGATGTATTATGTTGCGTTGAAATGACATTATGATGACAGGACCGGTCCATTCAGAAGAAACAGAGAGGTACCACCTTGAGGGTAGGGGGTGTTCAGCACGAGCTGACCAATCATCTCAATTTACAAAAGCTACCTGCTAGTAGAAAAGGTTCGGTTACTATTCTCATTTGAGTATTAGATATTTTTTCAAATTTAAAAAAAATTTAGGCGATCACCGTTTTTTAGTATGAAATTTTTAGTTTCTCTTTTTTTCATTTAATTTTTTTCAATTTTTATACAATCACCATCCTCTGGAATGAATTTTTCAGCAGCGTTTTTTTTCTAAAACTTCGATTGAAAGAAAACACGTATGAATGAGATGATATCTTTATGATATGGACTCATGTATCAAATCTTGAATTTATGGTAAAAGGTTATTCAGGCTATCTTGGATTTCCAACTTGAGAAGCTAGCTAGCTATTCAACTCTGTTACTTAATCTGTTACTTACACACAACCACACCCATTCTACCTGTAGTTTTATTTAACTATATCTTATTGATATGTACAATGTATGATTGAAATATGTTTTTGTATTGTATTCATTGTAAACAAACATATTTTATGTTTGTAATGTTTAATTTGTGTTTCTATATGTGGGTTCAAGATGTGTGTGTGTGTGTGTGTGTGTGTGTGTGTGTGTGTGTGTGTGTACATGTTTGTATGTGTGTGTCTGAAAGTGTATGTGTTGTATTGCGTGTCTGTATGTGTATTTGTGAGTGTGTGTTTTTGTTTATGTAAACAATGGATGGAGGGTTGTATGTGTATATGTTTGTATATGTCAGTTTGTTTGTAGGTATGTACCTATGCATGTTTACAAATGAAACAATTATAAACGGCCAATCATAATTAGAGTTGTCAGTTTGTTTCATTCTTGCTAATCACCAGCTGTTTGTTTCATTTTGTTGTTTTTTTATTATTGTTTTACTCCCAGGTTTTTATTGGTTGATCTATTATTTTTTTGTTG